CTTGCAAAATGAAATCCTCACAAGTCTTGTAATGATTATCAGTTCATCAGTTTGTAATTCAGTCTCTGTGAAGATCAATACAGACTAAAGCAGACGGGTCAAAGGGACCAGACTGGTAAAAAGAGATTATATGATATGATAATATTTTTTGGCGCGGAATGTGGTTTTACAACAGAAAAATGTAACCTGCATCTCATCATCACTGTGAAACATGGTGGTGGCAGCATCATGTGTTTAGAGTTGATGGTAAGAAGAACTAAGCTAGATACAGACCGTCCTGGAAGGAAACCTTATCAAGATGATAGGAGTAAGAGTTGGTTTGTGGTTAGAGAGGCAGAGTTAGTATAAGACATCATGATTAGATAGTCACTTAAATCATTAGAGACATATCTAAGCTATATTTTAATCATATAAAAAAATCTAGTTTATCCATTTTTTTTTCTTTCAGATTTCAAATATTAGCCTCCCTCATCTGAGTATGTCTAGTCCCCCAGTGGTGAAAATAGATGGGGGGCCTGGGGTGGCAACGGCCACCATTACCCAATCATTGGCCATCCCTGTAGCCCCCCCTACCAGCTGATTTGTTTTTTCCACATAGACGTAATTCATCACCTTTGGAAACAAGCAGTCAAACGGACTGGTAGCAGGCAGAACGTCCTAACTAATAAATTTAACGGTTTGTATTTTAGCCAATAGCTGACAACAGAACGTTAACTATTAACATAAATATACACTATAATTGTCATTAAAGGAAAAATTAATTCATGTTCTTTTAGAACTAGTTTCTGTGTTTAATTGGGGAGGAGGCAAAGTGTCTCTGCAAGTCATCTAGCAGTCTTCTATGTAACTGAAGATTAATAACAGCTAAACTAATTTAGTGTATGTTTTCATGTATGCATATATTAATATTATGATACAGCAGACAGATTTTCTGGAAATTTATTTAAGAAATGCCTAAGTAACTTTTTTAATTACTACAAGACCATTCCACCTACCACCATTGCGTGAAAGAATCTCTCAAATACACTCTAGTCTTTTCAATTTCCTCTGAGACTTTCCTTAACTTCTCATAAACTTGTAAGACCATTTTCTTTTTGTGACTCTGGGATGTTTTTAAAGTGTACAGTGAGATAAGTGGAGCTCTAATGAATGGCTGAAACCAAAGCTAACTAGATACATAAAGACCAGAAGGGCGAATGTGCAGCTAGAGCATGCAGATTGACTTTGGGTGAACATGTTACAAGAACTGGCATGTTGAATTAGATGACATTTGCTATATACCTTTCATTTAGACAGCATGCATGTATAAATATGTGTATTTCTTTGCACGGATTTTGAAAAATCTAGTTTGTCTTGATTTATCTGGAAAAAATAGATGTCCTCATTCATTTACCCGTATGTACAGTGCAAAATTAACCCTGAATTGGGTCTAGCAGCAATCTGTTAATGATACTAGTCCCTGCCTGGTCACCCTTATGAAAATCGTCCGGTTACACCACTGCTGTCTCCATTAAAGCCAGTTGTTGATTGTGATGTAATCATGAACTTCACCTCCTTAGACCTGACTGATGCAGTCAATGACACACCGCAGCTCCCCTCTGAGCTGCTGACACAGTTACAGCGAGCTGTAACTTCCTTCCTCTCCAAATAAATAGTATTCATTGAACCTGTTTAAATTTAATTTCAAAGAGAGGACAAAGCAAGATTTGAGTCAATAAATCAAGGCTTAGTACTTATAACCTGTTGTCAGATGCTCTGTAGTTGAGGGGAGTGTTGGCCTAGTGGTTAGAGCTGTGCGCTTATGCTCTGAAAAGGTTGTAAGTACCTGGTTGATCCCCACAGCCTGCCACTCTGGGTCTCTGAGCAAGACCCTTAACCCCTACACTGCTCCCTGGTCGCCACACAGTGGCAGCCCACTGCTCCCCAAGGGCATGGGTTAGATGCAGAGAGTTAATTTCTACATTATGAAATCAATAAAGTTCCATTTCTATTTTTTATATACCGGTATATATATTTAAAAGGCTTTGCCAGCCTGAGGTGACTCTTGTTCTCACACTGCTGTGGGTTTTCTGTTGTTTCCTGTGTGCTTGGTGAAGGTGAGGTGGGTTTTGCTCTGATAAGACCCAGTTTCTTCATACATCTTTTCAAACTAATATAGAATGATATACTTGCAATTAACACAACTAACTTGGCCAGTGCCAAGGTTTACATTTTTCAAAAGACTATAAAGCTTTTCACTGATGCTGAAATCAGCTAACTTTGAGCCAACTCCTTATGGGGCTCCAGACTAAGATATTTTGGTGGAAACTAAATTTGGACAAACAGGCAACAAGTTCAAAATACAATCTGGACAGCTCTGCAGATTGCAAGCAACCTACTGCACTGGAAAAACAATCTCTTAAATTAAGTTTATTTACCCTTAATTTTAGTAGGTAAAATAGACGATCTGCAAATGAAATTTGTTTTTTACTCTTAGAATAAGATATTAGGATAAAATGCACTTGAATTGGCAAAATGTATCTTTTATCTTCATAATTCAAGAAAAAAAATGCACTTATTTTAAGAAAAAAATACTTATCTTAAATAACTTATTAACTTAAATGAAGCAGGTTGCAGATGAAAGGAGGGAAAATCAGCTTATACTTAGACTAAAGCAATTTTTATTGTCATTTTTTTCAATTTGAACAGCTTTCATGACATTTCCATTCCTTAAAGTGCAGCAGTGATCAAATGGAAACAGTGTGGGAGAAAAAACATGGTGCCTCAGCTGGCTCCTTTCGACGTGGAGGAGCAACGACTCGCAGCTTCTGGCTGTAGGGACATGGAACGTCAGCATTAAATATATGTATAGTGCAATTATGCAGTATTTTTGGTTTGGTGTTGTCTGTGTGATGCAGAGACTGTGAGATGATTAGAGTTTTTACAAATGTTCAGCTGTCTGATGGTGGTGGAGAAGAAGCTGTTTTGGAATCTGCTGGACCTGCATCCAATGCTGCGAAGCCTCTTCCCAGAGGGCAGCAGGGACAAAGCAGCTGTAATGTTGAATCTTTATGGGGAAATAAAAAATAAATCTAGAGTACATCTTCACTAAAAGCAGGAAAAAGAGTCGTCAAACACAATGGAAGATAAAAACTTTTAAATTGTGATCTATAGGATTTTTATTTCAGTAAAAAAATATTGTGGTGCTTGAAACTGATGTTGATCTCCACATAGTTACTAGATGTAACCTGAGGATATTCTATATGTTCTCCCCTACATGTGTGGGTTCTCCCCAGGTTCTCCGGCTTCCTTTAATGCTCCAAAAACGTGACTGTTATGGTAATGTGCTGCTCTGAAATGCTCTAAAACTGATGTTTTTCTTGTGGCAGTGTGGGGCTATGGGTTTCTGGCTGTCACCATAATCAACCTGGCGTCTCTTCTCGGCCTGCTGCTGATCCCCTTCACCAAGAAGTCGTATTTCCCCAAAGTGCTGACTTACTTTATCGGCCTGGCCATCGGGACTCTCTTCTCCAACGCCGTACTTCAGCTCATACCAGAGGTCTGATAACGTGCTGATATTTCATTTTTAATCTGGTCAAGAAATTCAAAATTCAAATACATACCTGAATACAAATAATGAATAAAGTGAAAAACATACATTAAAAAAAAAATTAAAATCTATATTTTTTTTGTTGTTGTTGTTGTTCACAGGCTCTGGGTTTTGATCCCAAAGAAGACAACTATGTGGCAAAAGCAGTTGGCATATTTGGAGGATTTTACCTTTTATTTTTCGTGGAAAAGATACTGAAAATAGTTCTCAGGATTGACCATGAGGTAAGCTACAGAGTTCAAAATGCTTTATTGCTCATTTATCCTTGATTTTTTTTTATAAGAGATAATTGTCTCCTTAATGGGCCTCAGGTTTTTATCTTGTATTTATTTGACACCTGTCTAGCTCTCCAATGCTAAGTTGCACCTACTTTGATCCTGAATAACTCTTTCCACTCAGAGTAACCTAGATTCCGGCCTCTTAATACACTCACTACTGACCTAAGGTCATAAAAATGGATGGTTTATCTCCAGGTTACACGTGCTTGATAGAAAACTGCTGTGAAAAACATTCCACTGCCACACCTGACAGGCTTTACTCACTGATAATATGTTATCTCTGTGATCAAGGAAAGACCATAATTAGAAAGAAAAAGCCCTTTGACCTCTTACTCTACAAATAATAGGGTTATTAAGGTCCCTTCTTTTTATTCTGCCCTCATAAAGCAACTTAGAGTTTAAACCCTCTTGATACTTGTAATTTTTAACCTGATTTTCACACTAAGCTAAAATGATGGGCTCCTCTTGCAGTCTCATTTATTGAATGCTTATTGGTAAAACGAGCGTGCTATCTCTCCATTTGTGAATAGATGTTTTTGTTATTTTTGCTGTAACTCTTTTTCTCATCACGTGCTTTTGTGTGTCTTTGAAGCACGGCCACAGCCACTTCACTCCTGCAGACCCTCATCAGGAAAACAGCATCCAGAATGGAGATGCTTGGGAGAAAAAGGACTCTGTGGTTTTGACCAGCATCGCCACTGTTGCTGTAAATGACAGCAGCCCGGCCATTGAGACCTCTCATACAAATGTGGCACCCTCTCAGGTACCATCTTACATCCGTGCAATTTTTTTTCTCAAAAGCAACAAAAACAGTTTAACAGGTGCAAAGCAGGATTTAGAAATGTCTGGATAAAGACTTTTAGTGTTAAAAGAGGTATTTAAGTTCTATTATCTGTAACATTCGTTTGTTGTTTTCCCCCATTTAGTCCTATATGGCCTATATTAAACTGGAGATTTAACCCCTTCTTGAACTACATTTATTAAGTTAGATACTATTATATTGTTGTATAAGAAGGTCTTGGAGCACAGTCTCTGCTCCAAATGATCCCAAAGGGGTATGTAGGTTGCCCAGTCAGGTTTCTTTATTTCTAGCTCACTCCTTCATGTCTCAGCGAATTTGTTTTTTAATGCACTGCTGCAGTCATGTTTGAACAGGCTCAAACTGTTCCCACGCATTTTGAAATGGTTTAAGATGCCTCAGTATGCTGGAACATTACGGTTTCTGTGTATTGGAGCAACTGGGCTAAAATCAACCCACAAAAAACAAAATTGACCCTCTTCCAAACTTTGCAGCAGATGGAGAGGATCTGTTCCTGCGGGGAACTCATCTCCACTGCTCTTTCCATCCAGTTGTTTTAACCCATTCTGTGAACATCCTACAAACTCTTCTCCATCTTATGTGAAGGTCACACGAAGGTGAAGACCTAAATGTGAAATTTAGTGACCAAAGCATCGTTTTTACCCGAGCATATGTTGACCAAGTGTATGATTTAAAGATGGCTACCGTTTCATGGCTGAGATTCTGTCTTTCCTAAATGCTTGAGATCTATCACCATTGTTTTACTGTGGGATATTTCATTGGGAGGAAATTTTACACCTTACAGAGCTCCTGCTCTGCTTGCCCAGGTGCTGGATTTTTATAAAGATGTGAAATGAATTAGAAGACCTAAATTCAATTATTTAATACTGGCATTCAAGGGTTAAATTGTTTTGTTAATTTTTATTGGTTCTTATTTTTACTTGATTTTGTCTTATTATTTATAATGATATTTTAGTTTTAACTTAATTTCAGTATTTGTTAGCTAGTTTAGTTTCACTTCTATGTTTTGAAAAAGCGTAGTTTGAGTTCAGTTTTTATTAGCTTAAATTTTAGTGTCAGTCTTTGATGCAATTTATTTTGCCTTCTACTTACCTCGGAAAAGACTATAAAATTAAATACTATACAACAGAAATAAAGAATAAGGATAGACTGCTGCAACTAGAAACTAGACCCCATGTTAATGTATTTTGATCAAGACAAATAAAAACAAATACATTCTCTTAAGATTCAGTTGGGTTTAATTAGTTTTGTAAACCCTTATTACAGTTTCAGTTATGTTTAATTCTATTCTAGATTTTATCATTTCGTTAGTTGTATTTGACCCTAATAACCTTTCTGCCATTTTTTACCTACATGTAATTTATGACCTCAGATTAGAAACCTCAGCAGTTTGAACATTGGCATACCTTGATAACAGTCACAGGCCCCATTTCTAAGAGCAAGTCATATTTTGAGCTGCTGTCACTGATAACTGCAGGTTAGATATGTTAATATGTAACAATAATTTTTTGATTATCACATTGTTTGAAAGGGCATGGAAAAGCTGAATAAACACAAGTGTAAATGAGAAAACTGATTAGAAAAGTTAAGCTGTAGGAATCCAATCCCCCCATCATGGTAAAGAGAGCCACTGTCTGACTTTTTTTTTTTACAAAGAGTCCCTTGTTTGTCCAAGGCTGACATAAGCTCCTTTTTGTCTCTTCAGAGGGACTTTAAACTAAATGTCAATAAATCTGTTTGTGTCTGTGCGTTCTCTGACTTCCTGCTTACAAAATTTGAGCCATTATGTTTCCAGCTAAAGAGATCTGCTGCCTTATTGGATAGTAAAGGTGTTCTCTATAACTTGTTCTAATGGCAGAAGAAAAGCAGCAACAGGCGACATTCGGCTCCTTGGAAGGCATTGTTTGACCGTGTTCTTTATTTTCTGGTCAAAGTAAACTTTAGTGTGCTAAAGTTTACTTTGACATGCTGGCTTTCCCATTGATTCCATATGTTTGCTTTGATCTAACCAAACACTAGCACTGGCTGCATGCCTTTAACCTGCATGTCACGCTTCCAGGACACCCAGGGGTCTGATGTGATGTGCCACTGGCTGCGTGGGAAGCGCATCACCAGTATCAAGACTGTGGCCTGGATGATATCACTGAGTGACGCTGTGCACAACTTCATTGACGGTCTGGCCATTGGGGCTTCGTTCACTGTTTCTATTCTGACAGGGTTCAGTACCTCCACCGCCATCGTCTGTGAGGAGTTTCCCCATGAGCTGGGTGAGTGGCAAGATGTTTTTTTGGGACTATATATGTTTGACCATTACAAAGCTGAAGAAAGACAATAGATAATTTTCTTTGGTTTTTAACCAAGGAAAATATAAATAATGTGCTGTAGTTCACTTAATTTCCTATAGTGACTGTGCATTCAGTCCATCATCTAAACACACATGGTCACGCAAACTGACAAGCCAGACAAGAGAAGCAAACATGGTTACTCTGAAGGAGCTGCAGAGATCTACAGCTCAGCTGGAAGGATCTGTCTACAGGACAAGTGTTATGCCTGATTTATTTTTGACGCATTTGCGAGGTCCATGCGGCCAAATGACGTTCTGATTTTCCACACCCAAGAAAACTAGCATCTACTCAGAAGAATGTGGGAGGGAGCGACACTCCCACTGATGAATGCTTGCTAATAAAAATATCTAGGGACATGTTGTTGTTTGGCCAATAAGTATAAACACAATTAATACATTGTACAAACTGTTGGGAAGTATTTAGTTTATTGACCTTGAGTTGCCTCTTTATATACCTCGATCATTCCCTACCCAGCTTTCTGAAGGCTCTTTTTTATTTGTTTACTAGTTCCTTAAGATCATTGGTGATCCCTGGTATATTATTGGGGTTGGGATGGTGGTTACTGTTGAGTATAAATGGAAGGCAACTGAACTGGACCATGCCAGACACAATCAAACCGCATTAAATCTAGAACTAGTTCAGCAGTAAGGCTAAGCACGGTTCATCTGTGGCTTGGTAATTGATAACAATGAGCTATTTACTGTCAGCTGACTAATTACGCGGGTTTTCTGCCGTGTCCGGCGTTGCAATTTATAGATCTTTTCACCTGTTCGCAAGACGAGCTTCTTCTCAGCCTTTTAAGAATAAATGACATCAAAGGAGCGCGGTGCAACCTGGAATGATGTCGAGACCAAGGCTCTCAATGAAATCTGGGCGGAGGACTCTATTCAGGCAATAAGTTCCTGATTGTTATGGGCCACTGTTTTGTTTGCGTAATTCAGGCCTTCAGAGCTGCAGTAGTCGTGGACTGCCGATACGAGACGAGGCGCCGTGCTAGCATGATGTGTTAATAGTCTGAACTCGGCACGTAATATTTGAGAGGGCTAGTGTAAATGGGGCAATAGCCCACTCAATCCCAGTTTATACCCTCAAAACAACCTTGCAGGGCTTATTGAGCTTTCTGTGACCATCCTCTAACTTGTTACTCAAAGGTACACATGTCCACTTCTCTTTACACAGACTTTGGGAGTGCTATCCTTCACCCTCAGAGTCAGCCAGAATAATAATTACAGTTGGAAAAGCTGTGTGGAATATAAGCTGCCGACATTGTATCCATGGAGATAGTATGTCCGTCAAACTTAACTAAGACCTTAGCGGTGGCCCGTTGAAATTGTCCCTTTGTGGGTGACAAGAACAAAGCCATCGTTGTCTTAGCCCAGTTTGCAAGAAGCAAAGTATGGGAGACTAAAACTGAGCTTTCTGGACAGTGAGAAATAATCACATGTTTGGGGTAAACCTGCACACCTCAGGCTTAGGGTATACGGTGGTGCCAGCATCAGGCTGTATATGCTATTCTGCACTGAAGACTCTTTAAATGATCAGAGGAAGAAAACATATACAGTTACATACCTCCACTTCCTAGTAGGACAATTACCTTAAAACCAGAGCTTCAATGGACTGGTTTAAATTGAAGGGACATTCATGTGCCGCATCAAAATCCATCCCTAAGGCAATTTAAGAGACTGTGCCAAGACTTGTTAAAAAGAAATGTATTTTTATTCAACATTTTGTGTACATTCAGTTTTATGGTGAAAAATTTTGAGAGAACTCCAGCATGTGAATATTTTTACAGGGTACTGCGCTTAGTTCAATTGGTTATTTTTGCAGGCTTTTTTACAATGCAATATAGCTGATAGCTTGGTTGATTTCAGAAGAACTATGCGTTATGCAGTCGGTTTTAAATCCATGTCTCCTTCTCTGCAGGTGACTTTGTTATCCTGCTGAATGCTGGAATGAGCGTCCCGCAGGCCATTTTCTTCAACCTGCTGTCAGCAATGTCGTGTTATGTCGGCCTTGTGTTTGGAATCCTGCTTGGAAGCAGCTTTGCCCCAAATGCTATCTTTGCCATCGCGGGAGGAATGTTCCTGTATATTGCACTAGCAGACATGGTGGGTTGGTCTATGCATGTCTGAATGTACAGAAGGGCAACATTAAACAACTTTTGCATGTTACTTTGAATGCCACTTTAGTTAAGTGATTTCTACAGAAGACTGATTTAAGCTTGTTGTTTTAACTTAGTACTTTTTTTAAGTTTTACTTGGGCAGCTGTTTTATCTCTGAGAATTCTTGCAACACATCCTGCTCATTAGTTTGTTCTAGGATCCCCATTGCAACATATACAAGCTAAAGACTTAGCTTTTCTACCTCTAGCAGCTCAGGGAGTTTAAAGTGTTATTACTCAGAACAGGTAGGCAACATTAGAAAGAAGTATTACCCAAGTATTTCTTTGAAATAGACAAGAGTTTATCAGAAAGCTAAACAGGACCTAATGTCCATAATGTGCATGTGTAAAGGTTGTAATGCTGCTCCCTAGTGGAGGAATTTTTGAACTACATGAGGTCATAAGCAAAAACATGTTCATTTTAAACTGCATAAAGATGTATTAAGAATGCATCTCTGCTGGAAGGGGTTCCCTTTGATAACAAGTATTTGTTTTAAATTTTAGACTCATAAAATTGTAAAGTATTGTTGAAAAGATCATAAATGTGCAGTCCTGAGAAAAAGGGTAAAATTATGAATCAGCTACAATATATCCGTTATACCATGTCTTCTAAGGAGGCTTGTTGATAACTAAAGAAAAAGTTTTAGACAAAGCTAAAATTTTGACCTATAACATTAACTGTATCTTATCTTCTATTTCAGTTTCCAGAAATGGACAGTATAGTCAGGGATCAACGGAAAACTTCTAGCAAGATCATCTTCTTTCTGATCCAGAATGCTGGACTGCTTACCGGCTTCGCCATCATCCTACTGATTACATTGTATGCAAAGGACATAAACCTTGGATAGAAAGGAAAAGAAATGCTCATCTGTTGCCTTTGTTTCTGCTCACACAGGCTGGGCTGAAGATGAATGTAAAGAAAATGTTTTGTACAAAACCAAGTGTTATATGGGACAAAAAAAAGTAGGCTTTTATATTTTGGACTATCAATTTAGTGAAATGTTTACTCAACAAGAAGGGCATTTTTATGCAATCAACATGTATACAATTACTGACATCTTAAAGGAACAATAAATTATTTTTAGTCTTCAAATGTGAAATGTTTCATATGTATTTTCTAAATGGGTGTAACATAATTTTTAATGAAAAACAAATGATATCTATGCCTCACACCCCTCAGACAGTTCTGTAAAGCTGTGAACTCCATTCTTAAACATTTTATGTATTTTTTTATTTTATTTTTATTATTCTTTTCAGTCACCTTGAATTAAAAAGTAAACCTCTAGGAGTTGCCTGCTAAAACTCCGACACGCTAAATATTGCAAACCTGGAGCGCACATGCTGTGTTTAAATGTATATCATTGTATTGAAAAGTTGTTTTTGCACACAGGAAAATGGGGCAGGAGGAAGTTTCTTCCCAACATGCAGATTAATCTCATCTTTGCAGCAGTTCAGAGTTACTGGCAACGAGACTGTTTCCACAAACATTTAATGGGCTTTTTTTCCCTTTTCCTATAAAACATAATTGATAACTGTATTAATATGCTGTAAAAATTATTTATTTAAAGTCATTACTTGAAGATAAATAATGTTAATTTTGTTTACTACTATCACATATTTTATCACTAATAAGATTAATAAAGTTTTTTTTTTTTAAACTTAACCCAACT